AATATATCGTGACCGGCCCCCCCTCGGATCGTGACCGGCCCCCCCAATGGCCGTTTTATCAAGGCCAGCCCTGATGGCCGCTTGGCTCCCGCTCTTCGACCCGCGCCTTGCCCCGTCCGCGCTCGCCTTGCTTTTTACCGCCTCTCACATCCCCTCTCCCGCCACTCCCTGCCCCTTTCCCCCGTCGCCGCTCCCCCCCCCGCCCCACTCGACTCGCGCGCCGGGGCTTTGTTGTGTAGTATCTTTTTTTGAAATTTTTTTTTCACCGCGGCACAAACCTTTTCTTGCAACAAATCGATCGAGTCGCGCCGCGCAAAGATTGAAATAAGAACAAGAAACCCCGGCCCGAAGGTGTGCTGCTAACTCCGGGTGGATTGGGGCGGGCCATCTAGCCCTAAGCCTCCATCCTCTGAGCACACCCTAAACCCTAAACCCTAAACAAAGCGAGGCGCGAACCACGGTGAGTGGGCGCCGAGCGCTACGACGCACAGCTTCGCTGGCGGAGGGAGCCGAGCAGACCCGCGGTGAAGCGGGGCGATGCGACGCGCAGTCACCCGCCGTTGAGGCGGGCGCGCGCATGGAGCTGCTGAACGCAGCGCGGCAAGCGACAGGCTTGCCTCAAACAGAATTACCCTAAACCTTCACATTTCCAGGCCCAGAACGGAGGAATCCTCCCAATGGCCGTTTTTGATAAAACGGTCTACGGGCGATAAAACGGTCTACGGGCGATAAAACGGTCTACGGGCGATAAAACGGTCTACGGGCTGCCTTGGCTTGATAAAACGGCCATTGGCGGCGATAAAACTAGCTGTCAAGGACAGGCCTTGCTTCTGCTGAAAATGGCTTGGCCCGGTCGCTGATAAACTGATTGTGCGGGATAATATAGAATTTGCAACGCGCAGCTCAAATCTGGATGTCTGGGCATTCGGCTGCTTCTGCCTTGATAAAACGGACAAGGCGTTGATAACACGGTTTTGGGCCGGCTTCTGCTGAAAATGGCTTGGGGAGCGCCGCGTGCGCGGGCACTGAAGCTTTTGCCCAAAATGGCTTACTGCAATCCTTTTTCCAGTTAAGCTGGCTCGCCCTACAAAAAGCACGTGCGCGGGAAGTTTGCGCAACGATGATGACAGGGCGCAAATTTCTAAGCCCCCCCTCTTGGCGCTCGCTCCGCAATCCGATCACGGGAGTGCTGCGTGCGCGGAAACTGAAGCTTTTTTTTAATATGGCCCGCCGCAGTCCTTTTTTGAGCTAAGCTGGCTCGCTCTACAAAAAGCACGCGCGCGGGAAGTTGCGCAACGACTGATGACAGGGCGCACTTTTCTCAGCCCCCCCCTCTTATGGCTCGTTCCGCAATCCGATCACGGGAGTGCCGCGCGCGCGGAAACTGAAGCTTTTTTCTAACATGGCCCGCCGCAATCCTGTTTCGAGCTAAGCTGGCTCGCCCTACAACAAGCACGTGCGCGGGAAGTTGGCGCAACGATGATGACGGGGCGCAAATTTCTACGCCCCCCCCTCTTATGGCTTGCTCCGCAATCCGATCACGGGAGTGCCGCGTGCGCGGAAACTGAAGCTTTTTTCTAATATGGCCCGCCGCAATCCTTTTTCCAGTGCCCGACAAAAAGCACGTCGGGAAGTTGGCGCAAGGACTGATGACAGGGCGCAAGTTTCTCACCCCCTCCCCTCTTATGGCTCGCTCCGCAATCCGATCACGGGAGTGCCGCGTGCGCGGAAACTGAAGCTTTTTTCCAATATGGCCCGCCGCAGTCCTTTTTCGCTGATGGGCGGCGTAAGTTGCCAAACCTCGTCAGAAAACATGGCCCCGTGAGGGACGTAGTTCAGACCGAGCGTCTGCTGCAGCCTTGCAAACGCATCCTTGCCAAGAACGAGGATCTGCTCACGCAAGAAATCACAATTCGCCCGCAAAGATTGGTCAGTATGTCTCTGAAATCGCGAGCTGTCATGGCACGCAACGGTCACTGCACGGCCACCCAAAGCCACAGCTGCTTCGCTCGCCTCCTTCTCAACAACGTTCCTGCAAAACAGGCAAGGCAATGTCCCGCTCGAGCCTTTGCACTCCCAAAGCTGTTTGATGGCTGCCTCATCAGCCACAATCAAGCTTATCTTTGTGACAAGGAAAGAGCGATTGCCCGAAGGGAATGTCAGGAGCAGCCCGTGCGATAAGTCTCGGCCCTCCTGGCTAAAAAGCAGGCATGCTTTCATGAATGTGCTTACACCACCTGCGACGGTGTTGCAAATGTGAGTGCGCAAGCATGTCAAGAAGAACCACGATGATTCTTTGAAAAGAGCCAGACCACCAAGTTCTTTCAGAGAGTAATAAACTGCCACCACCTTACGCTTGTTGTCGGACTTCAGCTGATTACCGGGGCTGATTTCGTCCAGGTAGAAACAAATATTCCAAGGCGCAGCTGGGGTTGGTGGAGCGAGCCGCATGCGTTCTTCCAAAAAGCCGGCAAAACCGGCACACTCAGATGCCACTTTGTGAAGGTAGGCTGCTGGGCTCAGCACTTCCACCTTCACATCAGCAGCCCCCGCGCTGCTGGATGGCAGCGACACTGTTTGCCACAGAGGGCCATATGGCGTAGAGCCGCCAAGCGCTTTCTCTCGGGCGCGCTTCAAGCTGGGCCTTGATGTGTGCCTTGGAAGCTCCGGCGCCTCGCGAAGCTCGCGCAGCACGGCTGACAGCGCAGACATAGATGCATAGTGCTTGCTGCCCAGCCTGGACATGTCGACCATGCTGGCAGCCCGGTCTTCAGGCGGGCCGTGCGAGCATTGCAAAATTGCCCTGCACGGCCACGCCGGCGAGAAACCCCCTGCCAGCGCAACTCAGGCCGGCGGCAGACAGCGTCCGCACAAGCATTGCCGCGCCATGTGGGCAAGAATTTGCACTTCCGAACGTCAGTTGGATCTCAAAAGTCTATGCCGCGCAACACATGCAAACATCGAACATGCGAGCGTGAAATGTTCAGCGGCGAGTGCGCTTGAGTCATGACCTTGCAATGTCGAACAATGTCGCAAGCGTTGGTGCTTTGAGCCTCGAAGACTTGGCCAAGATAGAGCAAACCAAAAGAGCTTCCAACTCCACGCGGTTCACTGACAAGACCTCATGGCTGCCCGCTACACCTCGACTCAACAGCCTTTGGGCCCAAAGAGCACCTGGCCATGTTTTCTCTCGTGGTCATCCGCCCTGCAACCGCCAACAAGCTGCAGGAGCACTGCGTTGCAGCCCTTGACGCTAAGCCTGGCAATATTTAGCGGGGTTTCAGCGCCTCGCACGCGCAGCCTTCAGGACTACGAAACATGACAAGTCACTATAGCAGGGCTGGAGTCAAGGGTTTGCTTCCGGGAACAGGGCAACTCAAACCGTGATCAGGGGACAAGGAGACGAGGCACGTGCTTGTTTTCAACACTCCCGCCGAAATCAATTTGCGAAGCACAAGCGCGCTAGGGCTTATAGCCTGCCTGGCAAGCCTCGCGCAGCGTGCGGTATCGATCGCCTTTTGGCGAAAAATAATACTTGTCCTTACGCCCATCTGGGCGCCCGCGCGTCTCCACACGCCACTGCGCCTTCTGAGGCGCAGCTGCTGGCTTCTTCATGGCCTGTTGGCCATTCCCAGAAGACGCTGGCCGCTTCAGCACTGGCTTGTTCAAGCGCTTCTTCTCCTCAAGCAGCTTCTCCAGATCTGCGGCTTGCTGAGCCGGGGTCGGAGCCTCGCTATCCAAGATGGCTTGAGGCGTCTCTGGCTTGGGCGTTTTCAAGACGCTTGGTGGAGTTGCGGCGATGGCGGCCGGCAGCTCGGCCTGAGCCACTGGCGCAGCAGGCGCTGATGGGCTAGCAGAAGCCGTCGAGTTTGGAGGGGAAAAAATCTTCAAGTTCTGGAGAGGCGACCCTTGCTCGTTCTTCTGCTGGGCCTGCATCATGTGCAGGGCCTGCGCAACCGCGCTGGCGCACATGTGAGCCAGGGACTCCGGGGTCACAGGCCAGGGCTGTCGTCTCTGGCACAGCTCCCTTCTTGCTTTTCCTCAAGGTAACTGCGGATGCAGCGGCAAAGGCCTTCTCCTCCGACACCTTGCAAGGAGGGTCTTCTTCGGTGTACGCAGCCCGGAAGATGTCCGGGGGCAAGTCGCAAGGGTCCGCTGGAAATTTCAAGATAAATCTCCTTGAAGTCATTCGTCGTCACAAGGTTCTGAGCTGCATTTCCACACTCAAGTCCTGCAGCCATGGCTGCGGAGAGCACAGCCCGGATGGCCGGCTCATTGGGCAAGACCAACCCAACCGCGCGCATGCGGTTGGCAAGTGTTTCCAACTTGTTGCGCTTGCTGGTGGCGCTGGCCATGACGTTGATGTCAGACTGGCTGAGGTAATTCCGGAAAGAAGCCATGGTCTGGTTTGGGCGGCGCCCTGGACGGTGGTTAGGATTCCGCGCCCTCACCAAGCCTTCGCTCAAGGACTTGCACATGTCACCCTTCTGCTCCTCGCTCCACGCGCCATTTTGCACTGCAACAGTCACCTGGGAGGCAAGTTGCGCATCCATCTCGTCGAAGTCGCCCAGGCGCAGGAGCAAGGAGGAAGCTTGGGAGCTCCGGATAGAATTCCAGACTGGTTCCTGCAGGGCTGCCTTCTGCGCGTCCAGGAAGCCTTGGATGTTGTTGATCTCCTGCAAGAGCACATCGCCCGCAGTCGACATGGCGCGCACAAGGGCGCAAGGAACGAGCTTGCAACAACCCTGCCCCTACGTCGCGCGAGCAAGATTGCCCTGCGCAGTCCAGCGCTCTTGACAGAGTCAGAAACAACCAAGCGGAAGCACGCGTTTGAGACTTGGGTGTTGCGCGACATGGCAAGGAACTGCACAATGGCTCAAGCACGTGTGTCGCATGAGCTTGCTCTGCAGAATAGCTCGCGCACATCAGGCCTAAAAAACGGGATGCTCTTTTTCCAAAAACCGATGCCGCCACGAAGGCCGTGGTATGGAAAAGGGCCGTCAAGCCTCAGAGGAGCGTTTCATGATGGCACGTGTGAACTGGAAACCAGGCGGCGTCTTGCCATACATGCGGAACCTTTGGTTCTTCGCGCCTGCACCGCCCTTTGGGCAGAAAACAGTGCACAAGTCTGACAAAACTCTCAGATCCCTGCTGCTCACAACTCGCAAACGAACAAGCCTGGAAATGCCCTTCTTCTCCATCAATGTCCTCAGGTCTTGCTTGATGCGCAAGGCCCGCACGGGCTTGTCCGGCGGGTACACCTTGCGCATGTCTCGCGAGCCGTTGATGGGGCGGCCGATGACGAGGAGGCCTTTCGAGCACATGGAGGCAAACAGCGCGCACACCTTGTCGTGCGTGAGCGCCTTGCGCACAATGATAAAGCCTTCCAGGCCGTGGTGGAAAAGCCACAGATCTGCATCGACCTTCTTGTCAACAAGTAGGAACGGCAAGTAGCATATGCCCGAATAACCACCGCGCAGGAAGATCCGATCAAAGCACGGGCGCTGCATTCGGTCAGCCTGTCCTCGTGGCAGCAAACTCCACGACCCAGGCCGCGGCAGCTTGTCCGGGTTGTTAAACGCCACGCGGCTGCTGGTCAACACACACTCGAAGGCTGACATCCTAGATGCTGGGCGGCTATGAGACAGCTGAGGGCCTTGAAGCTTGGGCACGCAGGCAACATGCACCGAACACTGGCAGCAGGCGAAACCGCCCCAAGTGACAACTTTGCAGGAGCCAGGGGGCTAGCAAATTGTGAAGGTTGCTGAACATTGAAAACCAAAAAGCCACGTCGGAGGCGTTAGGGCAGACTATGTGTTGGAACTCGCCCTCGAGAACCCTTCACAATCTACACAATCCTTCGCCGTCCTGAGCCCTGCTGGCAACTTTGCATCTCCACCAGTCTATATATAGGCAGATGAAAATGACCAGAGAGGTTTCGCAGCAAAACAGGTTGCACTGTGCAGTCCTCCACACAAGCTGGGGCGAAGCAACCAGCACCCGTGGGCCTCAAGCAAGCTAAAAAACAAACAAACCGAGAAACCCAACAGTATTTTTCGGGGCCGGACGAGGTTGACTCCCGAAGCAGCAATGCATGGGTTTAGGAAATCACCTTCGCAAGTCAGACGTGCAAGTTGCTCCCAACAATCGAATAGAATGGCTCCGAGCTCACAGCAAACATGTTGATCAAGAAATTAACTTTTTTCTCAAACAACAATCCGGACTCTGCAGGGCTGTGTCCCAACTAATGTTCAACAAGAAACTGTCCCAAGGGTTTAATTGAACAACAAAAAACACCAACACGTTTTTGTTGATCAAGTAAAGGCGCGCTAGCAATAATTCAAATGCTCCAACTCCACTGCAAGAGGAGGGGGGAACTCTCGCGATTTTTTTTTCGCATTCCCTATTTCGCCTGCCCAAATCTGAAAAAAACCGCTCTTCCAAGAAGCTGAGGGCGAGCGAAAACATAGGCACAGTGAGCATTTTCTCAGGAATCTCAAACGCGGCATTTGTCACATGCTCCTCGAAACACAACATGGGTTTCCTGTACTTAGCCCAAAATCAGCTCATTTCGCAACCATTTTGCGCTGCAAGGGCGCCACATCAAGCCAAAAAATTGTGAGGCCTTTGGCCTTTTGATAGCCGCCTGTGGGCACGGTGCTCGCGGAGGCAACCTGTTGCAAAAACACGTATGTAAATAAACGTAGCGAAGCTGGTTTATGGCTGCTGTTGCCTAAATATAGTCATCGTGACACAGTCCTTCACAGAGGTCACTTTGAAGTTCTTTTCCCCGGGGACCGCCGTGCCAGTTGAATCAAAACAGTTTTGAGCGCACTAGTTACCCGTGTTTCACTCCAACGGCCCCCGCGCGGGCATACACTAACTACTTAATGGTCCGACCCAGGATGTCAGCCATTTTGGCCATGGTTTCGAGCGCTTTGTCAATTTGTTCATCTTTGTGAGCTAGCGCGCTCTGCCGCTTCCGCAATTGCTTCCCGGCTCGGTTCCGGCCCCTGTCTCGCCCGCCGCCTGACCTTGGTTCCAGTCTCTCAGTGTGGCCCAGGACAGGGGCCCGTTCTTTGCTTCGACATGAATTCCTACACAAAAGAAACTTGAAGTGTGTGTCAAGGGGCTCCATTTTGGACACGCCTTGGAAACTTGAACCGTTTGTCAAGGGGCTCCGTTTTTGGTACGTTTTGCAGACTAGAACCATTTGTCAAGGGGCTCCGTTTTTGGTACGGACGCCTGAAATGTGTCTCAAGGGGCTCCGTTTGTTGTTACGCGATTGAACGCTTGAAACATTTGGCAAGAAGCTCCGTTTTGGACACGCTTTTGTTCACTTGAAACTTGTGTCGGGGGCTCCGTTTTTGTTACGCAATTGGACACTTGAAACATTTGGCAAGGGGCTCCGTTTTGGACACGCTTTTGGTCACTTGGAACATTTGGCAAGGGGCTCCGTTTTGGATACGCTTTTGGTCACTTGAAGCTTGTGTCAGTGGCTCCTCTTTGGACACTTTTGGACGCCTGACATGTGTGTCAAGGGGCTCCGCTTTTTGTTGCGCAATTGGACGCTTGAAACTTGTGTCAAGGGGCTCCGTTTTGGTACGTTTTGCAGACTAGAACCATTTGTCAAGGGGCTCCGTTTTTGGTACGCAGTTGGACGCTTGAAACGTTTGGCAAGGGTCTCCGTTTTTTGGACACACTTTTGGTCGCTTGAAACATGTGGCAGGGGCTCCGTTTTGGACACGCTTTTGGTCACTTGAAACTTGTGCCAAGGGGCTCCGCTTTTGTTTTGAAATCTGCGTCAAGGGGCTCCATTTTTTTCTGCAATTGGACACTCGAAACATTTGGCAAGGGGCTCCGTTTTGGACACGCTTTTGGTCACTTGAAACTTGTGTCAGGGGGCTGAGTTTTGGACATGCATTTGGTCGCCTATAGCTGCTATAGAGCTTTGATCTTGGCTGCCTACCAAACCGCCTATATGACAGTTGTTTTCAAAGAACCCTGAGTACCCCCGCCAAGAAGCAAGCCACGTGAGCGTTTTTGTTGACACTCCCCTTTGTCTCTGTGCCAGACAAGTTGCGCGTGCCACTGCCCTTGCTGGTCAACCCAGCCGTTGTCCACGTAGTAGCCCTTGGCGCTGGCGGCAGGCTCGTACTCCACCTTCTCCTGCCACTCCCAGCGCCCGTGCCAGCTGCGATCGCCCTGCCAGTTGCTGCTTTGACCGCCGCCACCGTTGCGCTGCCAGCTGCTGCCTGCGGTGCGTTGGCGCTTGTCTGTGCCCCAGCGGCCCTGCCGACGTCCGCGTTGGTTGCGCGGCCCCACGGCTGGAACAGGGACGGGCACGGGCTTGCCCTCAGTCCCCTCCTCAGCAGCAGCAGCATCATTTTGGCCGCCTGCCCCAGCTTCGATGCCCTCGCCGTCAACGCCTGGCGAGGCCACCTCCTCAGTCTCTTCTTTCGAAGCCTCCACCAGGACCATGCGTTGCAACAACTGGCCAGGCTCCCAGCCATCAGCATCAGCTGCCATTGCAGTTGGAGCGCACGTTGCCGAGAAAAGCTTGGCTGTGAGCCGCTATGAAACAGGGCGCAGTGGCCGCTTTGCGCACCAAGCGGAAAACAAACGTGGCCTGCAAAATGGCGCCTGCATCAAACTGACAACACGAATTTACCGCAGACCTCATGTTTGGGGGTGGTCTTGGAAAGCCGCTGTTTGAAGCAGGGGTTCAGTTGCAGATATAGAGAGAGCCCAAGCGCAGTCCGTCAAGCTGAAAGGAGCAGCAGGTTCTCACAATCGCACTCCTTTGCTGCAGGGCCGATGTTGGCAACACTTGGCTCGCGGCTAGCCTTTTCCCCCTTTCAACACCCTTTGCGCGCAGAGGTTGCGCTCACTTGGCTCCCAATGCCCCTAAAAGTTTGCAAGCGGCCTGTACATCACACAGCGCTCACTCCAGAAACGCCAGCGGCTATTGCCGGGCTCTTTTCGCCGGCATCTTGGCTCCCATCATCGCCGGACTCTTGCGAAGCCATGCGTGCCAGAGGTGTGTCGTCAGGGACAGGCTTAGCCTTTTTGGAAGCACTTTTCTTGGCAGAGACTCGTCGCTTTTTGCGAGGCCGCGGCTCTCCTTCCACGCTGGCCGGCGCTGCCATCACAAGAAGCCGCAGGTGCTCCAAGCTCTCTGAACTTAACTCCATCCACAAGTCGGCGCCCTTGGTGCCCCGCAAGACTGCTACGTCACGGCGGCCCATGGCCTGGCCTTCAAACTCAGCAGCGCCGAAGCTGAGACAATTCTTCCAACTATCCATTGATCGTCTTCGCGAGCTTTGCGGGCTTTGATGGGCTTAGAAGGCCCATTTGGGTCTTGGCTGGCAGCATCTTGCAGCATCCGTGACAGGGCGGCATCGCACGCCTGCTGGCGGTCGCCGAGCACCTTGTCCAAGGCCGCCGGGTTCACCGCGTGCTTTGCCCTCTTCTCTTGGAGCTGCATGGCATGTCCGGTGCAGTACATGGTGAAGTGGCGGCACCATCTTCGGATCCGCACAAAGAAGCGCCCTTCAACTTCCTGGATCTGAGGCAGCCACGGCTTTCCCTTTAGCCTGGGGCGCTTCACCACCCAAGCCTGCTGCACGCAGGTGCCTTCAGCTGCCATGGCCACACCGCTCTGGAAAAACGATCAACGGCAAAACTGTGGCTGCGAGCACCGGCAACTGCCCTGCACTGCCCTATTTGCGGGCGATTGTCCCTGCAAATGCACAACCCACCTTCATGATGCTTCGTGATTCCAAGGCAAGATGAAACTGACTGATTGCATGCTGCAAGCTCTCGGCAATCAAACACCCGCAATTTGGATCGGCTTTGTTTTTCTCAAGAACTTGCACGGTGGCTTAGTAATGGAAAAACAAGCAGGCGTCGGCTTCAGGCCTGGCGCTTTGACCTCTTGTTGGGCCTGCCTTCCTCAGGCACAAGTGTGAGGTCAGCCACTGGCTTGGGCGTGGCCGGCTTGAACAAAACAAGAGCGTCTCCCGCGTTCACCTTACGGGTGTTCCTCGCAACACAAACCTTTGGACGTTTTATCAAGCCACAGCAGCCCGTAAATATCGCCCGTAGACCATTCAATGGCGGCCAAGGGGCGTTTTATGAAGCCAAGGCAGCTCGTAGACCATTTTATTGCCCGTAAACCATTTTATCGCCCCCAAGGCAGCCCGTAGACCATTTTATCGCCCCCGATGGCCGTTTTATCAAGGCCAATGGCCGTTTTATCGAGCGAAGGCAGCCCGGAAGCCATTTTATCGCCCGTAGACCATTTTATCGCCGTTTTCTCAAGCCAAGGCAGCCCGTAGACCATTTTATCAAGCCCGTAGACCATTTTATCGCCCGTAGACCACTTTATCTAAAAAGGCTTAGGGTCGACCCCCCCTATAGAGCAAAGTGATTCGCTGTTTTTGTTCTCCCTGGGATTCGAAGACCATCTTCTTGGGCGCCAAGCTGTGTTGGCGGACCCTAAACTCAAGGCCGAGCGCCGTACCGCAAGCGCTCGGCCGCAGCAGCTGCATTGGTGCTGGCGCAGAGCGAGTCCGGCATGGCGAGCGGAAGCGCCCCGAGTTGCGTTCCTCTGCAACGA